CTGGGTGAACTGACTTCATATTGCTGCAAAATGACCTGAATAACTTATTTGAATATACACAGAGCATCTCCAAATTATGAATGTGGAGAGAATTTAGATAAAGCTTTACCTAAACTCCACAGATAAATTGTGTGTACTAAGAAAACGTTGCTAATACAGAAATAAGGATGTTCAAACTTGACTATGCCAAATATACTCACAGAGAGATGAGAAAAAGCAGGTTACTGAACAGTTCCTGAACTAGTTAGACTTAAATAGTTGTGGAACTAAAGGGACAGCTTTAGGAAAGCAAACAAACAAACAACCCCACAGCCAGGAGATTTGCACAGATTTCCAGGGACCAAGATGTTCTGGATTTGCAGACTTTAAAACTCAGAATATCCCGAAGAGTATTAGCAGGGCTAGGGCTGCAGATCCTGTGGGATTTCATTTTCACAGATCAATTCAAGACAAGCTGTATCGTATTTGAAAGCTGTACTAACCCTGGGCTCATATTTATACTAATCTTGTACTTTTTTTTTTTAATAAGCCACACCCACCCATAGGTTGGGTTTTTTTTCTTCACATGTTGTAGTCTCACATATAGGGCTTCTAATTTAAAATAAGTGTTCCAGGAAAAAATGAATTCATAGACAAGCATACAAGACAAAATACAGTTTAAATATATAATAGGAAAGAGTTGATAACTAATTTTCCATCCACAAACTATTTCCTTTTGATTAGACTAAAATCAGAAAATATAACAAAACCAGCAATTGAATATTAAAGAAACACATATTTCAGAACTCCAGAAACATAAACGCAATGCTCTCACCAGTCAGTATATCCTTAAAGGCCTTAATTGCAAACATTTCACATTTTCTGATAAAATGTAAAGCAACGTGTAAAACATGAAATAATTAAAGATGCAGACAGAGCAGCTGAGGAAAAAAAGCTCCAGACACAAGCCTGTGAGGGGTAGTGCTGGCTTGTATGGTTTATAAGCCATATATACTTGCAAACTTTATAGCGTAGTCAAAACGTTTCAGTGTTTCTACATTTGCTGTAGTATGCATTACATATGAACAGTATCTTTTTCCATTTCTAAGATGTTACTGAAACATTCCTTAAAAGTTAATCCCCTGCTCTTACATCCATCAAAGCTATACTTTTAGGAGGACCTGTAAACCCACAGCCTTGGTGTTTCACCTTCTCCACCTGCAAGCACTTATTTGAAGACCAAACATATAGACCAATAACTTTAGTTTTCAGAAACTTGAACCTACAACTAGAAAAATATAAAGATACTGCTGTGCAGCTTTCAACAGACTTTCCTGAGTCCTTCTCCTGAGAGGTCTTCCTCACCTCAGGAGGGAAAATAAAAAGTTTCTGAACCATCATCTCAAATAATTAGGGAAGAAAGTAGCCCCCTGATGGCGTTTAAATGAGCATGCGCTCTTTAAAAAAGCATGTAGACAAAATGAAAGTCCCCCAAGCATGCCAAGTCAGATCTCAGCATACACTTGTTTTACATTTCTCAGGAGGAAAAGCTGTGAAAGTTTTTAAAAAAATGAACAATAAATCCCACACATACCTGTAGCACAGCAATGTGCGAGATAGCAGAGGCAAGCTGCGAGAGCTCAGCGTGGATGGTTACCACAGGACGTGATCCCAAAAGAAAGTGCTAACTCACTCATAAAATGAAAGGGGTGAGTGCAAGGATCAGGTTTCTTCAAATAAGAGTTACGTAAGTTACTGCCTTTATCTTTGCGTATCGCAGGGTGACAAAGTTAAAATTCACTCTTTTTAAAGGCATTCATTTTATTGCCAGTGTAGGCAGGGTGTGCTACTGTGAGGAGTACTGCTATCGCTGAGTACCAAACCTTCCTTTTAACTTACACAAAATGGTATTAAGCATTGGAAGCCTTGTCTTTTCAGCTTAGGAAACATGTTGACTTAGCTGAGCAATTCATGTAGACAAAACTATTTTTTTTAAAAAGGGTGTTCCCTTGTTTTTAAATGTTGGGGTAGTATCATTTTTTAACATTACATTGGCATTATTATTATTTCCTTAGACTATTCATCCATTGGTAAAAGATGTATAAAGTCATCAGCAGGGTGAGGTAATGAAGTAGAGACATTGTTTCAAAGCTCTATACAAGACAAAGCTGATACAGTATAGGAAAAATATTTTCTCTTTCAGAGTGAAAATAAATAGCGTGTAAAAAGGTAACAGTTTTGTAGTTTGCTATACATATCATTATAATAAGTGTTTAAAATGCTGATATATTTTTATCTTATCATAGGACATTTCATACATTTTTTTTTTTCCTTTTGAATTAAAGTGACTGCCTGATCCTTGTATCCCTCGCATTCTCCTGATTTTTTTTGGATTATTAGTTTATTCTTTGAAGAGCTTTATCTAAGGATATCAGCAATCCAAAATTCACTATTTCCTCAGAGGCACATCTGAAAAGTAGCACTAAATGCATATGTTAGTCTGCCACACTTTTGCCTTGGGAAAGCAACCAGCCTTACAATTTAGTCCTCATATATAAGCTGTTTTCCCATAGTCTAAATAACTTTGTCAATGCCATTTATTTACAACTCCTAAAATAAAGTCAAATGAATGAAAAAAAGCCTACCAAACAACTCCAGAGTGAAGACATAAGGTTCAAAACCCAACCCTTTTTTTTGGTTAGTTTTTTTTGCTTTTCCCACTTGTATTCTACAAACAACAAATTAAAGCACACAGGGAGCTTAGATACTCCTCAGCAACTTCAAAGAACAGTAGTAAAATAAATGCAAGAAAAATTGGCAGTTTAAATCATTCCTAGAAAAGACAAATGACAGCCACGCTTGCAGAACCTCTCCACTGGAGTTGCTTAACCACTTTTCCACTCCCTTAGTCATGGTAATGTGGCTCCGGAAATTCTTCTTTATACATAAGACTATTCCCCTTTGCCTTAATATTAACATTAAACTGTCAAAATTAAATGGCTTTTAATTTGATTTCCTGTTGTTTCATGTTCCTTGATAGGCAATCCATGCATTTTTTTAACTTGGAAGTCAAAACTTAATTCAACACATTCACGATCTCCGTATGTGCAGTTGGTTGCCCTTTGTACTGTTAACACGCACCTCTCTTAGATCTCACACTTCCAGCTCTTACTCAGTGACTTACAGTTTTATCATGAAGATTTGGCTGTACTTGTAGTAACATGTAGCTACCCTTCCACTTCAAACAAACACTGCATCTCAGTTTTTTTCTTTTTGCTTAGTCACGGTGTTAGTGTTACAGCACGCATGCCATTTCAGTATTTATGAATCACTGCTGTTCTCTAAATATATGACCTGATCGTCCCCTTGCACATTAGCTAACCTTCTAATGCTAATGGAACTCCATTAATGTGGAGTTATCCAGGTTTTACACTGCGGTAACTAAGGTACAATAAACTTCCAGACCTCTACATTCTTCTCCTGGAAAAATGTGTTATGAGGGCTGCATCACCCAGATAATAACTAGATTAATATATTACATATAGATGGTATCATATGAAAAGCAACAGTTAATCAGCAGTTGCAGGCCAGAATTCTCTGAAGACCCCCCCACAGGAAAGCCGGGGGGGGGGGGCG